GCGGCGAGGCACCGAGCTGTAGCTGGTGCTGCCGCCGCCGCCACCGCCGGACGAGGAGGAGGAGTGCTCCATGGGGTAGTAGTCGTGCCTCTCGACCAGCGGCGAGTAGTTGCCCGGGTGGCTGCGCGCCACCGCGCGCGAGTAGCTGCTGCCGTAACCGTAGCCGTAACCGTAGCCGCCTTGCGCGGCCAGCGGCGACGGGTGGTGGTGGTGAGCGTACGGGCCTGGCGCCGCGCCGTACTGGTAGTGCTGCGAGCCGTTGTACGGCGACCGCCCCGGCGCCACTGCCCCCTTGGTCCCCGCCGGGAGCGGGAGCGACGACGCGCCGAACGTATCGAGCGTCCTCAGCTCCACGATCTCCGCGGCGCCCACCTTCTTCTTGAGGCTCTTGGTCAGCTTGTTGGAGTCCACGTCGTCGCCGATCACCAGCAGCAGATTCTTGTCGCCGCCGGCCAGCGTCACCGACTCCACCCCTGCATACTCCTCCCAAGTCCCAACCCAGTTAATCATCTCGTGCCAACGCTGGCTTGAATTAATTAACGGAAAAGCTTCGCGGGCAAGGAATGAATTAAGCTTCGATCTATCGTTATGGAAGAATCACAAATCTAAAAAGGAAGAAAGATGACCCAGCATATACGTACCGGTAGCCGTAGCTGCCACTTTCATGGCTTTGGTTTGGTATTTCTCCGAGTTCACATACATCCGAATGATGATCTCCTTCTGAAATTTGTTTATAGTTACGCAAATATGCAAAGAATAAATTGAACTCGATGTATTGAGAGATAAGACGATAGACAAAATCGTCCCAAAGAAGAAGAAGAAGAAGAAGAAGAAGCACATACAAACAAAAAGGTGAGTGTTTTGTTTCAAAAAACAAAAGAAAAAGAGTGCTTACCCTCATGGTTGTTCGCTTTGCTGCTCAACAGATGACGGAAGAAAAACAAATGCTGCCTCCAAGTACTGAAAGAACGAAGGTCATGTGTACTACTCATATATATACTCCCCCGTACACACTTCTAGACATGTACTGTATGACATAACGGTGCTGACACGACTCATATTTTCAGTATCAGTGAAAAAAAACGCTCTTATATTATAGGACGGAGAAAGTACTAGTACATAACATCATGTTTAAATGACAAGTCATGTTTAATTAGTAACCAAATCAAAGATCACCGATATAGTCTTAGAAAGACTAGTCATCGCCGATAAACAAAAGCCCCAAGTTCGAATATTTAAGTGGCCACTTTGGCTGGAAGACTTTGTCTCTCTTTTGTCGGTAACACTTCCATTAAAGCACCTTCTACTTCTAATAGACCATGAACAATAGATAGAGAAGAATCATTTTGAATGAATGCATCAGAAGCGATGCACTTTTTTTTTTCATCGGTTACAGGGGAAGACCAAAGATCTTGCTCATTAGAGGAAATTCAGTGGTTGACTTGGATATCAGGTGAGTTACATATTCCACGATGCCGAGATGTCAGGTGCAGGTGGTGATGATCATCTCTGGGTCGTGGTCGTGTGGTGGCCTCGTCGGCGGCGGATGCTGGGTGGCATGTCGTGCGACGGTCGCTGAATCTCTCCTCCCTCCTCCCTGGTCAGCTCTCCTTGTTGCCCGGCTCGTCGCCTTCCCCTTCGCTTGTGGCCTTGTCTTCCTCATTCGTGCTGTCGTCGGGGCGACAGCCTAGGGCACCAAGGTCCGATGCCTCGTCGACGTCCGCGGTTGGCGGGGCGGCGCCGCCGCCTGCGTCGGGTCTCGAAACCCTAGGGTCAGATGCTGTGTCGAGGCTGGCCCTGGTGGTGGGCCGGGATCTGGGCCGGGGGCTAGTGGGTCGGACTCTGCGACCGAGCTGGGCTTCTCGTCTAATTTTATGCCCCCCGATCCATTATGGTCCGGCTCAGTTGAGTGGGCCTCCTACTAGGCCTGTTGGCCAGCCCTCTACATCTAAGCCTGTTGGGGCCCGAATGGAAGGCTATATCTGTATAAGAAAGGGCTTGCTTGACCCCGATGTAGGGTTTCCGGCTTCTTCGTCTAACATCTGTCGCTACCCCTTCTGCATCCGCCATCTCATGAGATCTAAACCACCTTCCCCCTCCTGATTTCCTGTGCCGCTGCCATGTCCATGGACAAATCTCAGGCGTCCTCTTCGGAGGCTCTGTCTAACAGTAAGAGGGGTCGTGAGGGCTCATATGAGACAGGCCATTCGCCGGATCTGGAGTACGAGGCGGCGCTCCAGGAGAAGTTGGAGGCGGAGCGCGCTGTGCATGACCAGGTAGACCGCGACCGCTTGGCGTGGGCGGCTGGGCCGGAGTGGCTACAGCACGACGAGCGGGCGCGTGGAGGCCGCAGTCGGCCCTTGGGAAGCGGCTGCTGCTACTGTGAAGGCTCCCTTGCTGGGCCCTCGCCTGATCTCCCCCGCGGTCCGGGTAGCCAGGTGCAGGCAGGGCATGGGGGAAGCTCTGGATCTGGCGTTTTGGCTCGCCCCGGGGTCAGTCGGGGTGCGGGCGGCGATTAGTTTCAACAGGGCGGTGGCTACGGGCCTTCATCCTTCCCCTCCAAGGCGTGTAGCCTTTCTCCTCAGGACCCGGGCTCGTCCTCGACCGCGGTGGGCAACGACATCCTCCCCCTACCCCCTTCCCCAGGGCTTCATTCCCTCCCGGGGTACGGGCCCGATCGCTAGCGGTGGTGCTCCTTCTAGTTTTGCTACCCTGACTTGCTTCGTATACCACATATCTGGTCACTTCCAATCCCGGTGCAAATCCTCCCCCATTTTGTCTGATCTGTCGTATGGAGGGACACCTCAATGTTGACTGTGTTGATAGATGCAACTTCTCGTCTTTCAAGAAATTTGGTTTGGGTTTTCCTGGATGCTCTTTCTCTGCTCTGTATGGTGCTCTTGGTATGCCGATAATTGCCCCTGTTTCCTCTAATGCTGATGTGATTACGGTCATCTGTTCTCCTGTCCCTATTCAAGTGATCCCTGACGAGCCGAAGGAGTCAGGTCTTGAAGGTTGGGACTAGCAGATTAACCAGGTTCGTGAATCGGATTTTGCACTCACATTCCCAACTAAAGAAATCCTGAAAATGATGGCTTCTTTTTCCAGTTTCACGTTGCCACTCAACCAGGTTAAAGTTTGGTTAAAGCTACTATAGATGGGGCTAAACCTGTGCTGTCTCTGTCTGAAGTTTGGGTACTGCTCGATGATGTTCCCTCTGGTATGTGCAACACTCATTTGCTGATGTCCTTCATGGAGCTAATTGGCAAACCCTCTGTTGTCGAATGTTGATTCCATAGAGATGCCCGGTCCTGCACGCATGAAAATCTGGTGTTTGGATCCCGCCCGCGTCCACGGCTCAGTTGATCTTTTCCCTGTTTATGATGGCTACAGGATTCAGGTTCGGCTGGAGGGCCAAGCGGCTCAATAGGCTCTCAAACCCACGCCCCCTACCCCCAAGTCTTCCAAGCCCAACCTGTCTGATGGGGGAGGCAACACCGAGGCCGGCAGCAATGCCAATCCTTTTACCGCCTTGGAATGGGAGGCAATGGGGTCTGAATCTCATGGCCTCTTCGAATTTGGGGCTCTGGTTGATGATGGTGGGGTGACCAAGCAAGGGGGTGATCGATCTTCCTAGAAGGTCCCTATGGAATTGGATGGTTCCACGCCTTCCTCCGGGGCGTGCTCCAACATTCCTGCCCGCCCTGCTTCGCCCTCTTTATATGGTATTATTGATGTGCCACAGTCACAGCCCCCGCGCCCTCCTAGTCCCAGTAGTAAACCCAAGAAGTCTTCGGTCCGTAAATTCTCTGCCAAGAGTCGGGTGTCTCCTGGATCCAAGCAGTTGGGCTCGTGCATGTCTCAGCGCATGGAGGAGGATCTGTGTGCCGCTGCTACCTGGCTAGCAGTGAGGCTTCCTACCTGGCTGCGCGTTCCTCGTCTGCGCCATTGCGGTCTCAAGTGTCGACGACCAGGAAGGGCCTGTGCCGTCAGAACATTATCGTCCCCATCCAGGAGCGTGCGGAGTTCCCGGCCGCGGCTAAGGACCTCTGTCCTCCAGGTACTTCCACCCCATCCTCTCCGGTTCGTTTGGTTCTTCCCTCCGTGCACGATTCCCACCTATTTAATATTCTTTCTGATACTGGGGTGTCGGTTGATTGCAATGTTGGCTCCCCTACTTCTTTACTTTCTGTGATACTCCTAAATGAGGAGGCCCAGGCTGCTATTGCTAATGCCAAAGAGGCCTTGGCTGAGAAGGCTGTGACTGCCCACAGTGGAGCTGCTGGACCATTGGGGGAAGGTAGTGGCCTTGCCCCCGCTGCGACCAAGAAGGGGCGATCTAGTAAAGCTAAATCCCGTATAGCCCCGTGTAGGTTGAGGCTCCATATAAAAAACTTGTCTTTCAGATTAAAGCTTTATTTTGGAATGTTCGTGGTTTTGGTGCTAGGGCGCCGAGACCAGATCTGCGACTTGATTCATGAAACTAAAGTTGATTTGGTCGGTTTGTCGAAACTTCCAAAGCTCTCCTCGATCGCTAGTGCTGACCACTTCGTCTGGCGCTGCCTTCCGGCTTTTGGTCATCCAGGTGGTATTCTTATTGGGGTAAGGGTTGATGTGTTTGATTTTGTTGCTTTTGAGCATGGGTTTTTTGGGCTAGCATGGTGGTTTATCAAAAGAGCCTCAACGTTCTTTGGGAATTTATGGTGGTCTATGGACCGGCTGAGCACTCACTCTCCTTGCTTTTCTTGGACAAAATTACTGCTAAGATTGACTCTTTGTAACATTCCTCTGGTCATTGGTGGTGACTTTAATCTCCATAGGTTCCCCACTGAAAAGACTAATTCGAATTTCTCGTGGACTTTAGCTAATGCGTTTAATGATTTCATCACGGGTTGTGCTCTCCATGAATTACCAGATCTGGTTCGCATTTCACCTGGTCCAATATACGTTCGGTGCTCGATCGTGTGTTCCCGACCTCTCCTTGGGATCTGCTATTTCCTTGCGCGTTCCTAGCTATGTTTTCTCACGTTAGCTCAAACCACTCTCCACCCATTTTGGACTTGGGTTTCAATTCCACGACTTCGGTCTCTAGGTTCCAGTTTGATGCTTCTTGGTTTATGGTTGATGGTTTCGTTGACATGCTCTCTGCTAAAATTATTTCTCTACTTAATTCCCAAGTTCGTTCTTTTGGTCCTATGGATGTCTGGCATTTTTGTTCGAATGAACTTCGGAGATTCCTCAAGGGTTGGGGGCACAATCATGCGGCCGAGGCCCTTAAGTGTAAGCGCGACCTGTTGGGGCAGGTCTTGCGCTTGATTCTGAGTCTGACTTGGCTGGGCTCTCAAATGTCGAATGGAAAAAGCGGTATGATCTTGAAGCTCTCTTGTGCAACAACATCGGCAGAATGAGGTATATTGTAGACAGCGCGACACTATTAACTAGACCCTGAAGGGTAATTCCCTATTTGCTTCTTTGCCATTGCCAATGGCCGCCACCATAGATGCTTAATTAATAGTCTGGTTATTGATGGTGTTAGGGTGGTTAACCCTCACATCATCATGGAGCATGTGTTTAACTTCTTTTCTAGCATGTTGGCTGTGAAGTCGGCCTCTGGTTTCATTATCTCTCCCAATTTCTGACAACAAGATAGGAGGGTTTCGGACGAGGAGAATGTGGCCATCTCGATTCCTCTATCTGTGTAAGAGATTGAGATGGCCATTAACTTGGCCAACAATTCTAGCCCGGACGGATTCTCTATCCCCTTCTTCAGAAGGTTTTGGTCTATTTTGCGCCCTTTGGTCTGCGCTATTATCCAAGGTTTTTTCTTAGGCACAGTGGACAACTCTCATCTTAATTATGCCATTCTATCCCTCATCCCCAAGGTCAAGGGTGCTGATTCTA